ACTTGGTCAGTGCAATATTTTGCCTAGTACGGCTTCAAGGTTACACTATCCAGCACATGCTGTAGATAGAGACTGTTTAATGTTTTGGAATATATAAAAACTTCAACTTAATAGCCCACTTGTTAACACTCTAGATTGAATAGCTTATAAAAGGGAATTAATCTACTTTAAGACTAACTGGTACTGTCCAGACTCAGTGCAAGAAATCAAAGATTGGAGGCTATGCATTGAAGCGAAGCACTATAGAAAGTGCCTATTTAACACTCTAATCGAATTTAACACTCTCTATTTAACATTCTAACTGCAGCCTAGGGCATGCCAATTGGAATCTTGCCTTGTAAAGCTGTCAAGGCTGACAAGAAAGTATCTGCTAAATAAGGAATCAAGTACTAAATTTTGTACATGTTGGGTGGAGGCCGAGTACAGTTTCGCTAAATTTGAAACTTCAAGCTTTTCTGAAACCTTGAATGCTAAAAGCGAGGACTGAAAGAAGTTCTGTCCAGTCATCTGGGACAAGCAGATTTTCCTGCTGGGCAAGTAACTTTTCACTTTCACTAGCCCAATGGGAAAGGTCCCAGGCAAATTGACTGCCAACTAAATAAAAGAAAGACTAAACTGAAACTTAGTCAGGGCAAGTAAAATTTCAGAGCTGCTTGTCTGAAGGACAAGATGGAATTTAAGTTTTTTTCAAGCCCTGTAAAAGTAAAGTGCATTAGTTTAGAACCTTTTAGTAATGAATAATATTTGTTTATTTACTTTTTTTCTAGGCTTGTGAAGAATTATACCATTTCAGAAGGTAGTGTGGTTGCTATTAAAGATGTTGTAGAACACTCTGAAAAGGAGAGAGAGGGAGCTTAGAAATAGCAGTGCCTTTGACGTCACATTCCTTGGCTTTGGTTGTTGGAGACACCTGGGGTGAAAAAGTCAAGAAAGCCAAGAGAGGTCTTAGGAACAATGTGAAGTGCTGTTTCTTGAATGTTGCTCATAAACAAAATCAAGCACGGGCTTCGCATCCTGATTTTAACCAAGAATTTCAAGAGTTAGTTCAAGATGATTCACTCATCCTGCCAAGGGGCTGGTTCAAGATAGTGGACAGACGAAACAGGATAAGCTTTGTACGCCCTGAGACGTGGGAATTTGACAACCAACGGATTTATACAGAGATATATCGTGATAGAATTATCCATGGAACAAAATGTGACTTATTTGATTAAGTCCCATGGATCCGAGCTTAACTTAAGACACCTGAATATTG